ATTACATTTTCTAAATCACTTGGGTTATAATTATCAAAATATATTTGTTCTTTTTCATCATCCACGTGCAATTCATCCCTGATGTATTTTTTAACTTCTGTAAAAGTTGGGTCATTATGAACGCTGGGGGAAAATATAAATATTCTTGCAAATGAATTTCTATAAACATTTAAAATAAGATTCTGAACTAAAACTGTTTTGCCTCCCGTCGAACTCGCAACTATAATACTTCTAAATGGTAATTTTGGCACGTGCTCATATTTGGATTGTTTGAATTCATATTCAGTTATGTTTATTGGTTTTATTATTGGGACATCTGTCATAGTTGATATTAAAGAAATATAGAAAATTATATTTAAAAATTAACTTGTAATTAATATTAAATGGAACATCATTATGTTATGAGTGGCGGTGAATAACATAATGGAACAGGTTTTCCATTGCTTCAATCAATAAGCATTGAAGATAATTAGTTTTGTGTCTTGCTCGCGTGTGCAATGAAAACCCAAGTGCTGTGCCCCACCAATATTCTATTATGCATGAAAATAATAAGATTAATTAGAATAATTTATCTTATTATTTAATATGGATAGAAGTTATTCAGATTATATTGATATAATAGATGAAGTAGAGAATATAGAACAAGTAATAATAACTGACAATAAAATTAAGAAATGCTGTTATTATACATTAGAATTAATAAAATTAGGAATACAATATATCAAAAATAAAAATGTAAATATTAATATAAATGGGAAAAAAGAAAAACAAAAAGAATAAAACGGATACTACAGTTTCTTCAACAGATGAAGACAAAGAAGAAGAAATTGTTAAGGAAACAGCACTAACCGAGTTTGAGTGTCCTATGTGTAAAAAGATGTTAGAAATGAAAAATGAAATAGAAATACAAAAGAAAGGAAATTGTAAATGTTCGTGTATTCCGACAAATTTCAAATTGAGTAAAAACGATAAGAAAATGAATATTGATAAAACCAAAGACAGTATAAATCTGGAAACGGATGTTCATAATATAACTTTTAAATGGGGGAGGCATGCGTCGCCATCCGATAATGGTGATAACGAAGCACAGGAAACTATTAAACAAATGATGAAAATTTAGTACTTAAAGAGTAGATTTTACATTAAATCAATTTTATAAATAAATAAATATTTAAATAAATAATTATATAAATAAATATATATAGAAATGTCTGAAGTTGAAAATGATGTTATTGTTGAACTATCAAAGAAGATAATGACAGTTAGTAAAAATGTTAAACTGTTGTACGAGATGATAAAAACTATTGACCAGAAACTTGATGCAAAGGCAAACGAACCAAAAAATAACAATGAAGAGAAGGAAAAGATTGATAAGATCTTTGAAAAGAAAGGGATAGGCAGACCCAGCGGTGATTATGACACGAAGCGTAAAAAATATTGCGATATGTTAAATAAGGGGCAAATCAAAAGTCCAAAAGAACAAACATTAGAATATTATAAAATAATTAAGGGCGATGATGGTAAATATGTAATTGTTGAAAATTAAAATATAAATAATTCTAATAATATGAATTTATTAGAACTATTTTCAGGCAGTGGTTCTGTTTGTAAAATTGCACGGGATTTAAGTTTTAATGATGATAATCCAATTTTAGCAATTATAATTTAATTATGCTATTTTAATTATAATTTTATTTTATTAATTTAATTTTAATTTATTAATTTAATTTTAATTTATTAATTTAATTTTAATTTATTAATTTAATTTTAATTTATTAATTTAATTTTAATTTATTAATTTAATTTTAATTTATTAATTTAATTTCTTGTAAAAAGTACTTAAAGAAATATTAATTATATATATTATCATACAAATGGTTGTATTTACAGAGGTTGAACAGGAAGAAATTATCAATGAATTCTTAACTTATATTGAACAACAGGAAACTAAAATAATTGATGATTTTTTGAGTGATAATGATAATAAAACAGAAGAAGAAGAAGAAGAAGAAGATGACAGTTACGGATTTGTAACTGAAAAACGGTTAGAAAAGGAAGTTACAGAACATCATAAAATGATAAACAATATTGAAACGAAAAATTACATCCCATTAAAACATGCAATGATAAAATATATGGAACAAACCAACAACCAACGAATAATTAGAAATGCTGGAAACTATTCATACAGTCAAAAGACATCCAATTGGTGGTATTTAAGCTTTAGAGAATTTGAATGGTTAATCGAAATAAAAAAGAATGGCAACAAATGGATTTGTAGCAAAGAAAAATTAGATGCAGTTGATTTTAACATATTGTATAAATATAAAATGTTTGAAAGAAGATTTGAATAATTATGTAAAAAAACGAATGAACCAGACCTTGCCCATAATATGTCTACAAAAATTGTGATAAAATTTATTGTAAAAAATTATCATAATGTTTGGAATAATATTTTTTTGAAAATTTATTTTTTTATTTTTTTTGTAAAATTTATTTTTTAATGTTTTTGTAAAATTTATTTTTTAAAATTTATTTTTTAAAATTTATTTTTTAAAATTTATTTTTTAAAATTTATTTTTTAAAATTTATTTTTTTAAAATTTATTTTTTAAAATTTGTTTTTTAAAATTTATTTTTTAAAATTTCTTTTTTAAAATTTCTTTTTTAAAATTTTTTAAAATTTATTTTTTAAAATATGGATGAACTTACTAGGAAATTACCTGCTTTAAAATGTTAATTTTTGAAAATGTGCTGTTTGAGGTGCTGTTTTAAAATGTTGCTAAAAGTGTGGGGAGGACCCTAGGTTTTTTTATAGAAAAAAGATGGGCAAGGTCTAGTCTAACTTTAGGTTGGTTCAGGGTGGCGTTAGGCTGGCTGAAGGTTTGTTTAGGTGTTTTGGGTTGGTTTAGCGGATTCAATGCTGATTTGGGGGTTTGTTGAGAATGGGTTGGTTTAGGGCGGCCTCAGGGTGTTAGATCAGGTTCGAGGTTGGTTTAGGTTAGTTGAAGGCTAAGGAGGCTGGATTGATTGAGCTGGTTCTTGGGTTGATCCGGGAGGTTTAAGGTTTACGGCTTTGAGTTTAGGGCTGGTTGGAGTTAGTGGGATGGCTAGCGCTTAGGGTCCTTAGGGTTTGGGGTGGATTTTGATGGCTAGATAATCTGGCTCCAGTTCTTGGGTGGCGCACGTCAGGGATTGATCGGCGTGCTTGAACGCATGTGCAGTGCAGAGTCATTTGGGTCCCTTTACAAACCCGTGGTGTGTGAAGACGCTTCAATGCTTCAATCGATGCAAAAGCTATAAGACGAGGCGCTGAGCCAGAGTAGGCGCAGCCCAATCATTTCATTTGAAGCATGCAGATGCAAGCATACCAGCATCCTTGGCATCCTTACCATCCTTGGACCGCATGAGCAGGCGTGTATTTCGCCTCGCCAGGGGCCGAGCGCTGGTTCACTTCTATGTGGGTCTCATCAACATTGCCATGGCGGACTTTTTGAGCTTCACAATTTGGACCCTGATCCATTTGGGGATGGGAGGTGGCCTCATGTTGTGCGGGATCATCATGCTCCTGAACCACCACACCTACCACTGCCAGCGTCGAGGGCACACCAGGGCCCTGCCCACTGCCAACGACGCCCAGAAGGCGCTGGACCACCTCAAGGAGGAAGTCTTGGAGGCACCGCACCTCAAAACACTTCCTTTCGAGGTTCCAAGTCTAAAGATCCCGAAAATTGAAACACAGCAGCGCTTGGTTTACAATTCAATCAGTGCACAGCGACCACAAATCAGAAAGCGCTCTGCTTTCTCACCATGGAGAGCTTTGTGCGCCGACAAGTTTGCATCAGACTTGAGCCAGTGGATTGCATATGAATGGAGCCGTATTGAGGCAACAGAAACAACAGCCACAAAGATCACGGCTGTCGGTGAACTCCAGGGCTGGAGGGTCGCCTGACTCAAGATCTCTGCTCACACCAACACGAAGATGGTCATTGCCCCCCCACCCTCCCCCAATCCAAAGGAGAAAAGCTCAAAAGCGGGACGGGTCGAAGTTCAGAAGAGGCGCCCCTGGTGATGTGCGGGCACTAGCCAGCTTAAGCCGTTTGTTCCAGCTGCAGTCTCTCGAAGCAATGGAGTAAGTTCTTAGTTAGTCTTGGCTTTAGGCCTTCCCTTCCAGGTGAAGACGTACATTGCCGCAAACCACTGCAGCGTGCGAATCATTTGCTTCGTGGTTGCTTTGGCTTTGGTGGTGGGCTCTATCCTGGGAATGATCAACATCTTCGGGGCACTTTTCAGTCCTTTCAACTACGTGATCGGCGTTTTCAACTTGTTCTTTGCAGTGGCAATCGTGCTGGTGGATGGTGAGCCTAGCTGGTTCAAGTGCTGCAACTGCCGCGTCAAGATGTTTCAGATGTTCCCTTGCTTGGCGTCACTTCCAGGGCGATCTTTGCTGCACTTCTATGCAAATTGCCTGCAATTGGAATGCATGGGTTGTACGTATCAGTGCATGTGCCTTGGATATTGACTTGCCGGATCTTTTTGTGTCGCCAGGTAGGCACTATCAACATTGTAATGCTGCCCGGTATGCCGTTGGAACAGACCTTAGTACGGTGCAACTGGATCAGCTCATGAGAGGCGCAGTTGAGGGTGCGATAGGTTGGAGTGTTTGTTCAGGACATCATCTACATCGCTTTGGGAGGAACTCTTTGCCTTTGTTCTCTGCTGATGCTATTCCATCATAACTACTGCCTGAAGATTCCCGCGGCGCTCCATATCGGACAGTGAAGTCGTTCAATGCGACTGAAATGCGCCTCTGACTGGGGCTTTCTTACTTGCAAAGGCAAGCTGAGCTCACGGCCAAAGCACGAGATACAGCGTGCGGCTTGAGCCTGTCCTAAATGTCAATGCGCATTTCTGTACAATAGCAGGATGCAACAAGGCAACAAGCAGACTCATTCGCCGCGTTGCATCGAGACCGGGGCAGAGCTGAAGTTTCATGCCAAGGTTGGCCACGACGGTGGTGGGCTTGGAGCGACTCAGCGACTCCGCATGGCAAACTTTGAGCACATGTGCATCCTTTATTTGGGTATTGAGCAACAATAAGTCACATGTTACTATGAGAGCCACGAGTTCCCAAATTGGCCATCAGTCTTGACTCAGGCCGCAGCCGCTCTCCGAGGTCGTGCAGCCCGTCCGAGGAGACAGAAACGGAAGCTTTTCAATCCGAGGCTAAGGCTGGCTGAGGCTGGCTAAGGCTGAAGGCATGTAAGGAAGGCAGAAGGCCTGCGCCCGTGAGGACCCACGAAGCTTGGCACTTGGCACTTGGCACAACATACGCGACTTGCTTTGCGTCGCAGACGTGAGGCAGGTTTGGTGCTTGGACCCTGGCGGCCCGAACCTGAAAAATGTGGCAGCTTTGACCGGAAGCCCTCAAAGGCAGCTGGTTGCGAGGTCACATCTGCGGGCCCAACTCCTTCTTCCAAGGCGGACATGCGCCAATCCGGGCTTTCTGCTTTTCTCTACTTCCATGCCAGCGGTTCCGAGCAGCGCATTCGTAGCCATGTCAGCTCCGGCTGTGCCCAATGAAGTGAGGCCAACTTAGGCCTTCTAGGCCTTCGTATAGAGCCACAGCCACGATGTGGCCAAAGAAGATGGTGGCGATGGTTATGCTCTGGAGCCTCTCCAATGCGATGGCTTTGGAGCATCGACCTTTGGGCGAACTTACTGCCCTACAACTTCCATGGCAAACAAGTCAAAGCTGGTCCTTGAACACCTTCAATGTGCCCAGCTTCTTAGCCGGGCTGACGGCACCAAGCTCAATCATCTCAATCAAAAAAGCACGGCTCTACGCGGAGTTTGTGCGCATGGAGTGTCAGAGCCGAGGTCGGCATCATTTGTGCGGTCACGGCCTCGGCTGTGAGCAATTCATTGCTTGGTGCGCAAGTGGGCCGAACAAGTGAAAAGCCGAGCTTTCTGGTGGTTGGTGGGGCATGCGGCACATTGGTGTAGGCCTTGCAATATGATGGTCTCGCAGTGACTTAGGTGGTGGGCTTTGGTTTTCTCACTGATCGCCTGTCCTTGCCAGCCACCGCGCCTCGAATTGAAACCGAACGTGGCCAGTCGTTCTGGACCGAACAAAAAAGGAGCTCACAAGCTGCGCAGGTGGGCTTGGTGGTTCCCAGCCATCCCCTTGGTTTTTGAGGTTTTCGGGGTGCAGTTTCCAGTTAACTCATTTGGCTCATTTAGCTCATTTAGCTCATTTAACCCACAGGTTAGACCTGGGGATCTGATTCCACTTTAGGCAGAGAAGGAGTTCGAGCCCGCGCACAGTGGCACGCCCGAGTACACCGCATCCACCGAGAGCGCCCGAGTCGACGCCCGTGGCGCAGACGGCGCAGACGAGTCGCTGCATTTGTTCGGCCCTCGCTGCGCCTGGCTGGTAGCCATGCTCTGCGTGCAGAGCACGTCATCGCCCGGGAACCCGGGAACCAAGGAAGCGCGGTGTATGAAGCTCGTTGCAAATCTGAGAGGGATCGAACTTGGATTGCTTTTGCTGCCTCTTTTTGGGCTTGTGTCTGCGAACGAGAGAAAGCTGATGGTTTGCTGTTGGGTTTTTCATCTCGAAGAAAACGGGGCGAAACAGTTTCGCCAAGGTTGATCCTGGATTCCTTCAGCGGGCTGATGCAGAGGCATCAGTTCCTCACCTTTTTCCTGACAATGTTGGTCGGCTTGGGAGGCCGGCAAGTGTGTAGATGTTCCAATATGTGATCAGACCTTGGGTCTGGATGATCTCTGCTTCAGGCAATGCAGGCGGACAAAGCGTGGTGCTCACAGTGAGGCGTTTAGCTCTGGGCAACTCTGTGAAGGCCGGCTCAAGTCTTTCACATCTCTTTGTTTATTTCAAATCTCCTTTCACTATCTTTGGTTGTGTTGAGCAATATGCTCCTAAGATCCGACTTGATGGGAATCATGCGCTGAGGTGTCAGAGCAGGCACATGTGGGCATGATGCTGCTGTTGGTCATGGCTCCGCTGGCCTTTGTCCGTGCGTTTCTCCAGCAGACACCCTGGCTGGAGTGCCTTACAGTAGGCTCGCAGATTCTCAATGCTTCAATGTTGTTGTGGTGTTTCGCAGTTTCCATTCGCTTGCTGAACTTCAAGCTCTGTCAGGTGCATCAGCTGCTGTCATCACTGTACTCGCCACCATCGTAGGCACCGCTCTTCCGAAGCTTCTTTGGCCGGGCGCTCAGAGACAGGAGACACATCCGACCCAATTGAGGCGAGCCGGCAGTGATGCAAGGTGATGCAAGGTGCATGCGCTGCCCAGTGTCGAGGTTTTTTCGAGTTGACCCTGCCCATGGCGCTGTGGGCGTGCAGGCGCTACGGCTTGGCATTGACATAACCCTGTACTGGCCAATTGTGCTCGCCAGGTCCTGATGGATATCGCAGGACAGCTCAGGGAAGACGTTTCCTTAGATCCGGCATGTGTGAGTCTCAGGAATAGCCATCGTGTGCGGTCTGGGCTACGTCATCCTTGAAGGTCCAGTAAAGTCGTGAAAGCGTTTGGCCCGCCAGCTGCGCGCAAGCGCGAACTTGGGAGATGCGCTTGCATTGTGCCTTTGCTGCATTTCCAGCAAAGGCAGCTTGCGCCAGTTTGCCCCTTTTTCTGCTGGAGCTCGCAGAAAAAGTCGGAGCCTGCTAATTAGCCTTTCATCTCAATGCAGTTGAAAGCCGTGGGAAGTGATGGACTCAAGCTGCTTGCACTTGGTCAGCCAGTGCAAAGAGAAGCAGTGAGCTAATTAGCCAGGAAGCGCTTGCAACTTCCGCTGGACCATTGCCGCCTGTGAGCTGTGTGGACGCCTGATCCCCAGCTCCGGGGGGGTCTGACGTGCCGAGCCAAGGATAGCCCAAGTTGCGAGTACTGCGAGTACTGCCCGGAGGCAGTGCAGTGCCACATATTGCCTGCGTAATTACACCACGTTGGCTATATCCAGTGCAGGTCACTGGCGAGAAGGCTGCCACCTTATCCAGGCATGTATGCGCACGGATTGAGTGTCGGCGAGGTGAGCAGCCCAGGCAGGGTTGGGCAATTCGCAGGGGCTCTCGAGCAATTCAGCCGTGTTGAAAGGTAGCACTGGCAGCTCCGCGGCTGGGGGCTTAGAGAGAGAGAGAGAGCGGGTCTTGGCCCAGTGCGTCTGGAGAAAAAAACCAGAGCCGAAAATGCCTAAAGGTGTTCGAGTCTGGAGGCAGGGGCAGTCGGCATGTTTCCGAGGTGTGACTGTCCTTTGTTTGCTTGAGGCTCTGTCGCCAGCCCGTGTACGCCTCAGCCAATGTTTGCCTTCTTGAGAAGAGCAACGGCCAACAATAACGGTCATTTCGAGTCCTTTCCGTAGTAAAAGGGATGACATGCGGTGCACTTTCTTAATTGCCCGTAGGAAGTGGGCAGGTTGCTCACTAAGATCCATTGTCACTTGGGTGTATGATAGTATGATTAGTGTTTATTGACTTTGGCACATTTTTCCTCATGAGACTCGGACAGCACCTTCTCATCAAGCGCGGAATAGGCCCCAGCAGATGTGTATTTCATATGATTTTCATTCGCAACAAAGGAGGCGGTATCCTGTTGTGCATTCAGCCCCACAGTTCAGTTCCTTCATTGGCGAAAGGCTTGTCACAGGCCGCTAGTCTTTGATCATGCTGCGATTCCGACAATTGCGCCTTTCGCAGCTAGTTGGCGAATGTCCAAGGAGCTGGCCCTTCAGTGCCCGCATAGTGCAATGAGCCATGTGACATGCGTGACGCGTGTGAGCCAAGTGCACTTGCCAATGAACGGATAGAAAAGTAGCGACCGACCAACACACTTCGAACTGTGGTACACCTTGAAGCGTGCTTTGGAGAGATCAACGTCTGAAAGGCAACATGCATTGCCGCTGTACGGCTCAGTCTCCAGAATGCTCAGATGGTCTTGCTTCAAGCTTTAAATCCGTGAAGCAAGATCCTGAAGCGAAGCCCAGATCGTTCCAAGCACGCAACTGACCCAACTCCCACAACTGCAGCTTCCGAGATGTGCAGATGCAGACCGCTAGACAGAAGGTGCAGAAGGTGCATGGCTCAGTCTTGGGCTCTTTGGAGTTCTTTGACACTTGTACAGCTTGCAGGTGCTGTCCGCAGACACCAACAAGTTCAGCGCGGATGACTGGGCGGAGGAGGGCAATGTGAGTCACACATGACTCGTGACGGTGAAACCTTCGCCAGGTCTTGGACTGTCTAGGGGGATGCCCACCAGAGGTGGCAGCAGCTCTCCGCGATCTGCAGAAATCACGAAGCCTCGATAACGCGGCCTTCCTGGACGAGATCTTTGGCCCGGGCGGCAGCTTTCGTTGGATTTGTTGTCTTGCTTTCCGTGAATGAGATTCGGAAAACGATGCTGCTGCAACAATCCGCAACATCTTCGATTTCAGGTCCGGAAAAGTCCACTGGCTGCGCGCTGCGCATCATTCAAATCACCGCCGCGACCGATGGCAAGATAGAGAGATGAAAGACAAAGTCCTGAGACACTGAGGATGTCTACATCTTAGATAACTTCCCCAGCCTGAGGACCCTGATTCAGAAGAAGGCGCCACCACTCAAAAAGCCGTGTTACACATGCCAGGCACTTCATGCTGGCATGTACTTAGCATTCGCTTGTCAGGAAGCAGAGCTTAAAGCGCGCTTTGGAGGACAGATTTGCTTGGAGGTGAGGGGCAAGTTTCATTTGAGCTTGGTCGTGTTTGAGGCGAATCTCGATGCATCTCGATGCTGACTGGTGCCCCTTGCTCTTCAACTTCAGCAACACGTTCAGTTTGATGAAGGAAGGGTTTGCTTTTTGCTTCCTTGTAAGGATTTCCTGGCGCCATATTTATTGTCTTCTATTGATCGGGGAACTGGCATGATTCGCATGCTGAACGAGACGCCCATCAATTATGTAACCTGGGGAAATCACGAGGCTGAGCGCGATTGGTGTGTTGGAGCAGATTGCTTTGTTGCATTTGCTTGCAAGAGTTTGTAGGCAGACCTGTCGCACGAAGATGTGATGTGCCGCGTGGAGGAGTACGAAGGTGTTCTTCGGATGCAATTGGAAGTGCATGCGTAAGTCACGGCAGGGTTTGTTCTGAAGAATTCCTTAGTCTTGAACTCGCCAGGTTTGGATCAACAGCAACATGCAGTCCCACGAATCCTTCAAGAAGTGCAAATGCCAAAAGGACGTAGAAATCATTGAGCTTCGGAAGGGAGACAAAGTCCACCGAGTGGGATTGGTGGGCGTGCTCAGCGGCGAGCCCAGCTTGTACAAGCCTGGTGCCTTTGGGGGTGCAACGATTGAAGATCCGTGGAAGACGCTGGCACACTACAAGAAGAGTCTGCAGAAAGAGCAGTGTGATTTGGTCATTCCGCTCTGTCATTTGTACGAGAATCAGGACGAAATTACCTGCAAGAACTTTGATTTTCCGGTAGTCCTATCTGGACATGATCATCACATTGTGGATCGGATTGTTGATGGCACTCGGATCCTGAAACCTGGTTCTGATGGCCATTATGCTGTGATGCTTGACATTATTTGGGACGGATCTGACGGCCCCAAGATTGAGGCACAAGCGCATTCGCCGCGATCGCAAGCGTTTTGGCTCTCATGCAGTGCCGGTGAGGCAGAACTGCTGAAGGTGGCCGACTTTGAAGCTGATGCCTTGCTAGTCTCTTTGCCTGGATCGATTTGCATCATGCCGTAGACCTCCCCTAAATGCTCTGAGGCTGAACACGTGAAGGAGGTTTACTCCACTCTGGATCATTTGCGCTACACGCAGGTTGTTAAGGTTCTTTGCCAAGATATGGCCCCGTGCACCTCTTTGGATCTCTAGCCTTGCCCGAGGTGCCCAAAGCTTATCGGCCCCTGAGCTCCGTCAACTCCAGAGGATCCTGCACCTCCGCTGCTCGTTTCTTTTGCACGGAGGCGACGGGCGCCCAGTCGCTCGTTGGATGCCGAGTGCCGAGCCTGCCAGATCCGCAACGCTCTGAACCTGGACTGCCTAGAGGCGAGCCATTGATATGAGATGTGCTCAGCTACGGTTGTGGGACTTGAAGTTGTGAAGTGCGCAGGACAGCCCTCATTGCGACTGCGTGGTCATCAATGGCGGTAACTTTCGCGGCGAGCGGGACTACAAAGACGTCAGGCGCCTTTCCTTGGAGGACGGGACGGGGGGCTTGGAGTCCTTGGAGAGCCACTGCGCTGCACTGCGCTTGCCGAGGATTTGAAGTCAGAGATCGATGAGCGGCAAGCTGAGCAATATTTTTAGATATATTGGGCAATGCCTCGCAGGGTTGCGTTGACCGAGGTCCGTGGAGATTGTCGTGGCCGAGCTGCCCGGCTGGATTCTGCAAGGCCTCCGGGAGACCTGGAAAGTGGTCAGCGGTGCCTGGATGCAGCACGATGATGGCATCGAGGCAGTCGCTTCCCTTTTGACCGTAACGACTTGCACATTCGTCGACATTCAACGACATTCATCGACATGTATCGACATTCACAGCCGGAGGTGGACGACCGCGGCCATGTCGTGTCTGTTGCGGGCAAAGCGCTGGATGAGGATGGCACCTACCGCATTGGCACCACCAGGTGCCGATGCAGCTTCTCCCTGTGCAGCTTGTGCAGCTTGTGCCTGAGCCAGGCGGTTCGGGATACAGCTGATGTCAAGCGTGGCGTCATACTGGGAGCAGCGACCAGAGTTGCGACCACATCCCGAGTCTGCAGTTCCCGTGCAGCTCAGCTCAGAGGTCACCCACTCAGATTCCTTGAGAACGTTGAGCAGCTGAGGCACTCCCTGCTGTTGCACTACTGGGCGGAAAAGGTTTGGGTGCGAATTTGGGCATTTCTGGACAAAGACGGTAACGGTCGCATCGATCCGGAAGAGATCCAGGCACTGGACAGGCGCGAGATGCAAATGTTGTTACCTGTACACAGTTGCAGTGTAGGACTGGAGATGGTGAGCTTGACCAAGACGACGCTTGAGAAATTTAAATCTGTCTTGCTTAATGTTTTGGCGGAATGACACGAGAAGACGACTGGCCGTGTTACTTGACTCGCAGAGCTGCCGTCGCAACGTGAAGAAATCGGCATAAGGACATCATGTGTGCCGTGAAGAGCGTGGCCAATCTGGAGACTTTCGAGGGCGAGTACACGCTGACTGACTTAGTCATGAAGGCTTCGAATTGCTTCGGACCTTCGGGAAAGATTCCTAAATTGCATACAGCTTGCTTTCAGGTGGCTGGCCATCGAGGACAGGGGACATTGACTTTGAGGGAGATCAACCACCGCCGTCGGCACCGCCGAAAACAGCTGAAGGAAGCTAGGCGCGGCAATTCGCATCTGAAGCGAGCCCAGTCTGCCCGTGTTTAGGACAAGAGAGTCTCAGTTTCCAGCGGAGCTGCTGCCTGACGGCCATGTACAAGATCAGCAGAATGTGTAGACTTGGTGCTAGCAGAAGACCTGGTTTGGCACCAAAAGTGAGCGAGCTTCATTTCAGGCCGGACGACTTGTGTTTTGTCCGTTTCTTGTAAGTCATTATGTCGTTCGCAGCAGAGTATCGGATTTTGTTTCCTCTTCCAGGCCAGAGCAGCGTTGTGGAGTTGCTTTGGGGCGGGCGCAGGTTGAGGAGAGGTGCTTCTGTTTCCTGGAGCGTTTCAAACACTACCAACTCCATCCGCACCTCTGATGCGGTCTGTGGGGTTGCTAGCACCCTGAACAGTTGTTTTGAAAGTGGTAGTTCGATCAAGTCCCCAAATCAATGGCTGGACGACCAATCCGCAGGATCACATCCCCCAACTCACTCATAAGCATGACAGCCAGGAAATGCGGCAGCCCTGCCAAGTGTGGTCCAACGCAAGGGGGCCTCTCACCTTCAAAAGGAATAGGAGTCGAGTTGTGATGCGCTGTCAGAATCCACACCGATGCAGAAGGGCTCATCCAACTGCAGGGATGTTTGAGAGGCCACTGATCCCATCACAGCATGCTACATTTACCAAAACCATCCATGTGAAGTGCAACAGTTCTGAACGTTTAAACCATTATCCGGGGTTTTCCAATTATTCTAGTTATTTGGTGGGCTTTTTCAATACTGCAATTCCCCCCCAGCCAAATAACACCTTGTGTGTTTCGGGTCTTTGCAGCTCTCAGCTTTCTATTTGGAATTTGTGAAGGCTTTGACAGAGTTCTGGCAGTCCATGTTGATCGTGTAACTCCCTCAGATCCGCATTTCCCTAATTATTCTAGTTTGTTTGCGGGGAAATTTCAAAAGTGCAAACAGCAACAATAAAGACTAGAAACGAACACAATCCTGCAACATCAATGCACAAAATGCACAAAAGCACCCAAAGTGGCTCAAATGCCACGCTGTTTCTCCATCCCCGACAACGTAGGCGTGCCTTTTTTTGCGTTTCGGCCCAGATTGGCCATTGAAAACCAACAAAAGCAGCGGGGCAATTAACACGGACGCGTCCTTGCTTTGTCTGCCGTTGCTCAATTTTCTGCTGCTGCTACTGTTGCTGTTGCCGTTGCTTGGAGTCGTGTTTTGTTTGGAGCATTTTGGAACCTAAGGATGTCATCTCCTACGCGCTCTTTCTTTCTTCCTTTGATTCTTTCTTTCTATTCCTTTCCTTTCCTTTCCTTTCCTTTCCTTTCCTTTCCTTTCCTTTCCTTTCCTTTCCTTTCCTGTCGGACGGCTTGCCTCTTGGGGCATGGGATTTCTCGAGGTTGCATAAGGCAGGTCGTTTAATCACATCAGAGTTGACCCAAAGCAAGAGGCATGTTGCTTCCGGGTTGCGGAGGAGGGTTTGAGGATGTGTTCATCATACGCAGTTGCATGCCTACTAGCTTTGTGTCAACATGTGCGTTTTTCCAGACATAACAAAGACGCTTTCATAGTTGGACGCCGGCGTGTTGCCTACTAGATTCGTACAACCACCATACGGGTCCCAACATGTCCCAACAAGCATTTGACCTCGTTCATTGCGGTCCAAGCAAGCGGCACAGAAAATTATGGAGTTCCTGGTCGCGTGAAGTTCACCAAAGCCATGTCCGGATGCCTCGGCACGCTTGGAAAGGAGTTCGCGGCCTGGAAGCCAGATTCATCGTGCCCCTGCTTGGACCACGCCAGGTGCGGAGTGCTGCATGACAAGAGTGCAGACGTCATGGTATGGGGAGAGTGTCCCACCCATGAAATGTCCCAAATCAATCTCAATGGATGCCGCCTCGGAAACAAGAGCTTCAAGGGGGATGACTTGGTGGAGCCAGAGATGATGTGTGAGGACTTTGCCGTCGGCATCAAGAAGATTTGGGTTAACATGAAAGTTGCTGGTTTGCTATGCTTCTCACTTGGGGTGCGGTGCTGCAATCCCCACTGCAGAAGTGAGCGCTTTTGTGTGACTCTGATCAACAAAGTTGGACAAGTGTGCAAAACAGTGAATTCCATACCTTGCTGCAAGAAGCCGCAATTGGATCTGACAGAGTTGAGAGCTAGACTGTTGCAAGTCGGCGATGAGACGAAGGTCCACATAAATCAAATCCACTTCCCCGACTGGTCTTCGGATGAAGTTGAGGAGTCCTCGGTACTGGAAGTTGTGGTGTGTGAAGATAGATTTGTGGCAACTCCAGGGCCCCAGGCAAATTTCTTTAAACACGCCAAAGAACACTTCGGCAAGAGAGAAATTCGAGTAGAGCGCCTGTTGAGCCCTGAATTCTCACATTTGATGGTGAGAATTATGCAGTGTTGACATCCATGCAGTCTTGCGCCTTAGAATCTAGAGTCCTTGGAGTTTCCTTGCCAGTGGCAAAAGATGGTCTGGCTAGAGCGGCTAGAGTGTTTTCTGCCAGGAGTCGCACGTGTGCAGCTGCGCCCGGTTGAGAATATCAGACACGTCCTGTTTTCTTGGTTTGTTTCATTCTATGAACTGCCGCAGCCTTCTTCAAGACAAGACGTTTAAGTCTAATCATCTTGTCTTGGCCCGCATGCCAACGCAATCGCGCCTTGGTGGAAGCTTGGGCAACAAATGGGAGGATTGGGTCCCATCAACAAGCCAGCCCTGCTTCAACCATGCAACATGCGGGGTGCTTCATGTGCCTGGTGTGCTGGATTTGGAAGTTGATGGTGAGTGCCCTCGGCATGGTTCGTCCAAGATTCCTATCGGTGGTGTGCGGCTTGGAGGCGCTCGCAAAGACGGAGACGATCTTTTGGATCTGGATATGGTTTGCGGCTGTTACCCTGTTGGTCTTACAAAGATCTGGGTGAACCTCAAAGCGCCACAAATCCTTTCGTTTACGCTTGGGGTGCATTGCTTTACGTGTAAAGCAAAGGGCCAGGTGCTGATGCTGGTCAACAAGATGGGGGTTTCATGTCAGACCGTGCGCTCTGAGGAGTGCTGTCCCAATCCAAGACTGGAGTTCTTTGAATTCCGTGCACGACAGTTGCAGTCAGGAGACGTGACCCTAGTCCCCATCCTTGATGTGACATTTGCAAAGGAGAAAGCGGTTGACAACTACGTCAGGCGCATCGACCCGGTGAGTGGCCAGCCTTACTATCAAAATTCGGTGACAGCCACTATGCATTGGGAAATTCCAATCACCAGGCCATCACGCGGCCTCTTAAAAGTCGTACCGATGAAGAACAAATGGGTGGCTTTAGCGGGGGCTCAGCACGACTACTACAAGTATGCACAAAACCACTTTGATAGCAGAGACGTGCGCGTTCAACGGCTGCGCGGGTCAAAGCATGATGTGGTGGAAGTTCAAATTGTCGACGAGGAGCAGGAATCACTGCAGCAGCTCACAGAAGATGCGAGAACCACCCGGTGTCCAATGTGCCAGCGCCCGATTGATTGGGTTGCCGGGTGCGAGCACCTGAGTTGCCATTGTGGCCAACGATTCAATTTTTACAATGCCACATTTGCTTGACTTAGTTCCAAGACGGATCATTCTAGATTTGCAGTTGGCCACTTGCTATAGGATGGTACCAGGGTGAAGTTCACCGCGTGGAAAAACCATTACAAACCACAGAGGAAAAGCTGGGCGCATTTGGAGTGCAAAAGGGCGAGATTTGGTTTGTTGTGACTCCAGTTTAGGATGCTTGGAGTCATTACACCAGCAAAATGCCGGACCCATTCTGCCTCCCTTGTTGAGTGCTCAGGCACTTCAAAGGTTGGGTGTAGCTTAGAAAAGAAACGCATAGCACGTCAAGGTATGACCGCACGGACCGCAATATTTTGGACGAAGCTTGCGCGTATGAAGGCATGCTGGGGCTGTGTTTGGCTTAATACAGGGATCAAAGCGCCCATGTTTGGCCTGATTTGCGCCCGTGTTGTGCCACGCTGGGCCTAAGTTGGGACAAGTTGCGCCCATGTTGGGCTCAACATTGGTCTAAAATAGGCGCAGCTGAACCCAGACAGAATGTGTTTTGTGAGTTGTCGAGTTTCGAGCGCGTGTGTCAGCCCGTGCGCGAGGGCGCGGGCTTTGGGAGGCTTGCATCCGTTTCTTGGTTTGTCACGATTGTCACAAACAAGGCGCAATTCTATCGTTAAATCGATAGTTCGCGGGCTCGATTCCACTCCGTGCTAGTGTGTTGGGGGCTGCGCTGGTGCTTGGTTTGACGGCAGCGTCTCTGGGCTTTTCATGGGCTTTGCACGCTTTCTCAAAATTGCCGAGTTCTAATTCAACTGGGTTGTTTTGCCTTTTGCTTGTCTATGGCTGATTGTTTTTTGCCTTGGTGTACTTTCGGCTTCTTGTATGTGTCTGGGAATTGCGCTGCCTTGCGGGTGCGTGCTGTCTGCAGGCCCTCCACTTTTGGATTTCAGCACCACGCTGTACCTGTGCGTGTGTGCGTGTGTGTGTGTGTGTGTCCTCTCAAGCTATATTGTATTTGCTTCCTGAGCGACCTTGCAAACAACGCATGCCTAGTTTGAACGCCATAGCGCGTGCGGCACAGGTGGACTTTTCGATTGAGGCGACTTGCTAGCTTTTATTTAGTCCATGTTGTCTCTTCCTCGCGTGCCAGGTTGGGTTATTGAGTTCTCTCCCTCCCCAGTCCCAGCTCCAGAATCTCGACTCCAACGCCTTGATTCCAGGCAATTGAAGCAGGCCCTTTGGCTTTGTTGCTTGCCTGGCCTCGCGCATCCTACCGTGTGTCTCTAAGTTTCTTTACGTCTGTTGCTCCTGACGAAAGGAATGGGGCTTCTTTTGCAGTTGCTGACTTGCAAAGAGTGGCGTGCATCAAGAAAACACATCACCTGCTTACAGAGAATAGATTTGCACTCAAAAAATCCAACATTCCGTGACAGTTTTTGAACACTTGTCTTTGCCTTCTACGTGCAAGGCTCGAAGCCAGGAACTTGTCTGTGTTTCTAGCTTGACAAGTGTGGTAGGAACGCCCGGGACTCCCGGAACACCTTTTGGTAGGCACGGGATCAAATTCACCTCGGACTGGACTGATGACTCTATGTTGCCAACTGACACGGACCACCAGTTCAGCTTCCGTGGGGATTATTTTGATATTGCTGTCTTCGGCGATTGCTACAGATGCATCGAAAACGGCCAACAGGGTACCAGGCAAATTGATATGAGCTGGGTTGAAGTTTTCCGCAATCAAGAGGAGCCCGTGAACATCAAGACATGTGACCTGGTGTGTCCTTGTTCTGCACACTTGGGCAGTAAGCCGGTGGGAATCGAAAGCATTTTCGTACGATTTCATCAAGATGCTGCGGTGCAGGTGGGCATCAAAGCCCAATGCTTCGCATGTCACGAGAAAGCCGGACAAATCCCACCGCTTGCCGCTTATCCTCTTGGGCACTGGCGTCGGCTGTCTTTCCTTGGCTGCTGTGACCACCCCAAGGTCAAGTTGGTTTCACTCAGGTTCCTTGCAAGTTGCCGGCCAAGCCCTCCTCCTTCAGTGTCCAGGACGGATGAGAGGCAGTTGATCTGCAGTATTTGTTTCAATCCTGTCAACCGGGAGGCAACAGGTTGTGAGCAATGCGCAGAGTCATACCATAGTCAGTGTCACAGACAATGGCTGCAGTTCCGCAAGAGGTGCTCAGAGGAGTGGTGCCTATCGTGCCACGGGAAAGTGAAGAGAGCTGCCGTGCAGGACTTGTATGCAAGGAACAAGAAGAGGAAGCAGCTGTCCATTGCCAAGTTACATCAAGAGATCATATCCCCCAACTTGGTCATACCGGAGATCAACCCCAGCAAGCGCCAGCGCGGGTCTGCAGGCACAAGTGCGTCCGCCGCAAGTACAGCTGATGTATGCTTTCTGATGGATTGTACTGGGTCAATGGATCAATGGATTGCAGCTGCAAAGGCCAGTGTTGAAGCCATCGCGGAGTCAAGCGCAAGGCTTTCACAAGTATCATGTCGGTTCGCTTTTGTCGGCTACCGCGACTATGATGAAGAGGATCGGTACAGCATTCTGGACTTTACATCAGATTTTCGGAGATTTCAACGGTTTCTTCGAAACGTTCCGGCCAAAGGTGGCTTTGATGAATGCGAAGATTTGCTTGGTGGCATGTGTGAAGCAATCCAGTTAGATTGGCAAGGTGATGTTCGAACTCTTTATATGATTTGTGATGCGCCTTGCCACGGTCGCCAGTACAACTGCCGCGACGCCTATGATGAATTTCCTGACATCCCCAGCCACCTTGCAGCCGATGTCCTTTTTCGGAAGATTCATAGAGCCAACATATTTCCCCATGGCTTCAGGGTGGAACGGACTGGAAGCATGGCAGGCATGTTCTCCACATGATGAATATTTTCCGAGCTCTTTGGAAGGAAGTCTGTGGCCGCATCTTTCCTGTGCAGGATTTGGAGGGCCACACCAACCTTTTCTCGGATTCAGTTTCAGGATCCTTGCACAATAATGTGCAAAAGGCCCGTGAGAAACTATTGGTCTGGAACACCAAGCGCTTCATGACACAGATCCAGGAGGACTCAGAGTGGATACCTGGAAAATTGGGAACTTTTGAGCACCCGCAAGCCAGAAATCTGTTGAGCAGGATTTTGGCAGAGCCGACTGCCGAATTGGCGTTCAATTCGGCCAAGCTGCACATTGCTGGAGCTCCCTTCAATCAGGACGGAAACAACAAGTATGTCTTCCACTGTCAACATGCTCAGAGGCCCAAAGCGAGGCTTGTGGCAAAGGTGTACAATACTGAGGCCAGAGTGCGTAACCAGGCAGCTTATCTCCAGGAACTTGATGTCAGTTCAAAAACTCAGCATTATGTCGATGCATTCAACAAAACCCGTGCGAGCAACATCCACTTCATTTCTGTAAGGGTTGAGTACTTCTATGCCGACACACCGGTGCCACCCTTCAACTGCGTACACTATTTGGTAGAAGAGTTTCTCGATGGACACTTGGAAAAATTCAACAGCAATTCTGGTTGGACTTACAAAAATGTAGCAACTGGCATGGCCGAGGTTGCTCAGGCATTCAGCCACTTCACGTACAAACTTTCGCACAGAAAGGAGATTCTCGTCGATGTGCAAGGCCTTGCCAAGGACACGCTCTTCTACATGCATGATATTGCACGGCATACAAAGGAAGAGCCAAGCCCCTTGGAGCCAATGAACCACGGTCAGAAAGGAATATGCTCCTTTTTCAAGAGCCACAAATGCTATGCAACGTGCCTGAAATTGGGACTTCAGAGCTGTTGGCCAGACATGTCCGGTTCTATGGAGGTACTTCCAAAGGTGCGTGAATCTTTGCAGAACACAGCAGTTCTACATTCCGCGCGGAGCAGCCAGTGCCAGTCAATTCTCGAAGATAACGGCGAAGAGTCGGAGTCGGATTAAGATACGTCGAATTTCAACCAGCGACGTTGCAAGTTGTAATGTCGCTCAATGTCTTGACATGTCGTGTGCCAGGTATGGCAGAACTTCATGCTTGCAAAGGCAATTTGTTGAGGTCGTACTGTATGCCAAACGATCCAAAAAATAATTTGAATTTATTGGGATAAAACAATTTAGTTAATAAACTATAAAAACAAATTTGTATATATATATATACCTGGGGCCTGAAACGACCATTTTTGTTTCGTACGACATTTTTTTGGGAACGACCATTTTTTGTTTCATACGTGGCATGTACATTGTTAAAGTTGGATTGATGATGTAAATACCTGAAGACCTGTGTGTGACAGCGCGGCATAATTGTTTCCTGGGTGCAAGCTGTAGTTTTACTGTATGTAGGCTCAAGGCCTTGATCATATAGATGTGCAGGGGAATGTACAAGTGAGGATGTATAGTAACACCCCACTTTGGATTGATGTATCTAGATATTAAGACAAATAGTTGTGCTCTAGCTTGTTGAGGTGATGTAAAGTTGTTAGCAGCTCTACTGGCTGTTTCAATTTGTACATCGATGCCTCTAATGTATCGAGCGTTTGTATAGACTGTATGTGTGACCTGATGTTTGCAAGGTGTCGCTGCAACACCTTGTATCCACAAAATCCGGTGTGCCAAAAATTGGCAATCACTGTGTAAGCAGTGTGGATCCCTGCTTCACTCCTGTAAGGTACTCATTGTAGACCTGTGCCTTGGTTGTAGCATAGTTTATGTAAAACAGATGTTGCTGCTCGAGGATGTAATTAATGTGGCCCGGATGTCCTGGTACTGTTTATCCCTCAACCGTGCCACGTGTGTTGAGACTGTGTGCATCTTGCATCGAAATGTGTCTCACCAATGTCCAATGTCTGTGCTACTGTAGCATGCCTGCGGCAGGTGTCCTCATCTGTGGCGAGTTGCTCAAGATTCACGCAGGCGTTGTAGGACCAGATGTACCCTGTATTCCAGTTGAACTTCAAGGCGTTGTAGGACCAGATGTACCCTGTATTCCAGTTGAACTTCATGTAAATCCCGAGCAGGCCATTATTGCCGGTGTACGAGAAAACCTGTTGTTTAGACAGGTCATCCCGTGTCTGAATCCATGTCTTATTCACGTGGATCTGCATGTGGAAGTCCCGATTGCAGAAATTGATGTAGCCGCGGGATGCCTATTCGGCAATGTGCCTCGCATCCAGCTGCACTGTAGCCACGATGAAGGTGTCCAAGTGCTGTGTTCTGCATGTCCCGACAGAAATGTAATTCAGAAGGGTTGTAACAGCCTCAAAAGGGGAACAATGTGCTCGACCTCTGGGCTTCTGGCCCAGCCATGGATGTGTTTCAGTTTACCATTTGCTGTCCAAGCTATGAACTCCTCAAATGTCATTGCAATGTGCGTCATGTTGGTCTTGTTCTGGATGGTGTCCAAGTGGATCCTAGCCAATGTACGCAAGGGCTGTTTCCCGGTGATAGTCTCTTCAGTATAACCCAAAGATGTAAGGCTCACCGCGTCCTATGTCCTTGCCACTGTGACCTCTGTGGCCGGGATGTACTCAGCGATCCTTGTGAGTCCTGACATGGCCATTGTATACCTTCAATGTGCAGGGGTGTGTCTTCACCAAATGTAAAATGGCTGCGACATGTATCAAAGACATTGTCTGAAACATGTATGGAACCTCATGCAGTAAAATGTACCTGAGGATGTAAAAGATGTGGTCAAAGATGAACTCAAAGTTGTGTACCCAAACCAGAAAGGTTGTATCGTCTCCAGGGCAGGTCCATGGCTATACCTAACTTAAAGCTAAAACATGTGTGCCGGCCGTTTAGTTGTGAAACATATACGTGTATCAACTGTGCAACTGTTGTTTAACATACTGTGCAACTGTGTGAAACTGGTGTTATGTGACCTTACAGGCCAACGTTGTACAGGTGTTTGTTGAGAGTGTCGCAGCTGACAAACTTTATTAGCAGGTCTGATGGGTTGTCTTCAGACCTTACTTTGTGCATTGAAATTATTTTGCTTTTGACAAGTTGTTGTATGAAGAGGTGTCGTAGCTCGATGTGTTTTGCTTTCTTTGATGTACCTTCTCTCATAATTGATTTTGCTGCACTGCTGTCTGTGTGTATCCTGATATTGATGCGTACCTCAAATGCTTCTTTTATGAAGTTGCCGATATAGAGGCTTTCCTGTGCTGCTGTACCGATTGCGCACAGTTCTGATTCTGCTGATGCAAGTGCTATTGTGGCTTGTGTTCTGCTGCCATAATGTATTGCTACTCCAAAGAAGCATAGTACAAATCCTATTGTGCTCTTGCGTGTTGTTTCACATGATGCCCAATTGGCATCTGTGTATGTGTCAATGTTAAGCGGTACTCATCTTTGGTCGCAAGCTGTGTCGCATGTACCTTGTGCCCTTGAGGTACCTGATCATGTGCTTGAGCTTCTTGTTGTCAAATTGTGTTGGTGCTTGTAATGACTTTGCTAACTCTTTTGCCCCATAGCTGATGTCTGGTCGTGTGTGTGCTAGCCATTGTATCTTGCCAATAAGCCGCCTGTATCGTTTGTGCTGTTCGTGGTCAAGTGGTGCTTCGTCTTCTGCTGTACCTTTCATGTGTGACACCCCTGGTGATGGTGTTGGGTTGCATGTAGTCATCCCTGACTCTTCCAGGATTGTGTCAACATAGTTGTTGTTCAAATTGATGTCGATGTGATCACCTCTGTGTGAGATGTTCCTGCCAAGAAAGTGGATTGTTGATCCAACTGTTAGATCGCCGGTATGTCTAAGCAGAATTTCCTCTTGTATTCTGCTGAACAGTGTGTTGATGATGCTTTGTACTCCTATGAATAGGAGGTCGTCTACATAGATCAGAATGTAGACCAGGCAATCCTTTAACCTCTAAACATTACTTTCTGTTGTGCATCTCACCAATTCGAGTGTGACTGTGAGAACGTGTGCTATGTGGTCTTTTTGGTGATGATCTAAGACCGTGGATTGCTTTGTTTAGCCGCCACATTATGTGTCTGTTCTCTTCATTGTAGAACTCGTGTGGTGGTCTCATTCCCAGATTGTGTGTGATGGCTGCTGCATGTAGAAATGCAACACTCACATCTCCTGTACAGACCGACCAGTTGTACACCAGTGCCATTGTGAGAAGCACTCTCAGAATGCAAAACAATGGTGTACTTGCGAAGAGTAGGTCATGGTCTGTAACGGGTTCTGTGTAGCCTTTTGCTACTATGCGTGCTCGTACTTCATTGTGTTTCGGTTTTAGAACCCATCTTGATTCAATGATGTTTGCTTGTTGTTCTGGTGTTATTGTGTTGCCATCAATCTCTATGAAGACTGATTGTTCTTTCATTTATTGTACTTCCTTCTTCATGCCTTGTGCTACAAGTTGTGGATCCAGGTCTTCTGTGTCATGTATGATCGGCTCTAGTAGGATCCTTTCATTTTCGATTTCTTGTCTGTCTTCATTGGAGGTTGTCTCCATTTGTTTACCATCCTTTGTTGTGAACTTGATGGCATTGATTCTCATCTTGCTTTTTGGTTGTTCTGCTGTTGTAGGTCGCTCAAGGGTTTGTCTCTCTGCTGTGGTGCGTTGTTGCTTGCCGGTGCTGCCTTCTGCTATTGTATCATCTCTTTCTCTTGTCTGTGATGTGTGCGGTGGTGCTGGCAGTGATGGTCGTTTCTGATGCGCCGGTGATGTAGCCATATGTGATGTTGGCTCTGCTGTCCTCTTCTGCTTTGGCTGTTGTTCGCTCGACTGTGCTGTGCTTTGTCTCTTGTTTTCTGCTGCTGTGCTTGTTGCTGCATCCTTCTGTGATGTAATTGTTTTGCTTGCTGATGGCATTGTTACTGGTGGTGTGAGAGTCGATGTAGGCAGTGCTGATGCTGGTGTCTTCCATGGACCTGTGTTTGCACAGCCCAATAGTTGCTGGTCGTATTTGTGAGGCATTATCTGCCTTCTGATTGTCCTTGCTCTGACAATCTTGTTGTAGATCCCTATGAGGGATTCGCCTGTAGTTGTATCCTTGCCAAGCCAGATCCCGTTGTAGAACCTTGGCTCTAGTTTTGGAAATTGTTTTACTGTTGGTAGTGTCAAAAGAGCAAGTTGACGCCCCGTGGGACGCTGTCCACCAAGCTTCCAGCTGAATGTACTCAATCGCGTGGAAAAAACCGATACAGCCAAACCAGCGCAAACTGTTGTAAGGGTATTGTCCAATAACCGCAAATACACACCCGATATCAGCGGCGCGGATGAACCTATTTTCTCTCACACAGATCGATCGCAGGCGAACGTAGTACCTTAAGCCCTACTTGTATCTTGAGCCAAATGTGGCATCCAAAAGAACGTTTCAACCACCAAGAACATGGACCTCAGAACGGCTTCCCAATTTAGGCACGGGGCCAGGAGGGTTTTAACATCCCCCATTTGGGTCGCACTGTTCATCATGCGGTCCAAACATCACAACAAGTTCCAATGGCCACGGCTCCGAATACGAAACTGTGTCGAGCATTCTTTCACTCACTACTGCAACGCCGTTTATTCATTGTGAAACTTAGCCGGGTTCGATTAAACCAAAAAACGCGTATCCGCAGACCGCAGCACATTCCTATACACAGAGGCATGAGGCATTATGCCCCGTATCACAACGCAGCCATCGGAGGTCCCAGCTGCCGCGTACGCATCGCGCAGCTGTCATCCATAGAAATGGGTTGGCCGAAGAAATCCATAGCAGCGCATAATTGTAAGCCATCCGTATATCACCGGCAAAGAAAATGGCGAGCAATATGTATGCAAAAATAGCCATCCCAGATACCATAAACATATAAGGAAATGAAATCATCCATGAGGTAATAATGCCCATTCATAAATATCCGGAATGCCATAGTCGTCGGAATATGTAAATACATACATAAACATGGCCCTTGGACAAACGGATCACAACACATCGTAATTCATCCCATCATA